CTTTACATTTCTGTGAAGGTTTTCCCCTTCCTCAATATTTGTAGGTTAAACGTTGGATAGATGAAATTTAACAATACTAAAGTTATGCTTTTGAACTTTTTTTTTTAAATTTAATCTCGAAGGCCTAGATCAAACGATTTGGGTGAAGGGTCAGTGAGTACATTATATGGCGGGTTCGCCGATTTAGTGTAGTGCAAATGATTCGTAAACTCTTTCTTTTGAGTTGTCATCTACCACAAATAGATAGTATCAAACGATACCACTATCGTAGTTTTCTTTTTTTTATTTCTTCTTTATTATAAATATCATGAGATGACATTCTAGGAACTTCAATATCTAAAAGACTCAACACATTTCGGATATAATTTAGTTTGGGTTTTCAGGATGATCAATTAAGCTTGATGATATACTATTTTGCGTTTTCAGTTTGAAAAAAATTTTGAAACTCAATAGGCTAATCTTTGTTTTGTTCCCTCCCTTGAAGATTAGGTGAAAGAATTTTTTTGTAATTCAAAAAAGGTGACATTCATGATAACAAACATTTTCTTATAATTGGGATGAAAGCATTTATACCCCTTTTGGATAGGAGCATAACTAATAAAAACACATTTTTTGGCTCGGTGTTCAAGTTTTCCTTGACTATGAATGTGAACGAAAGCAATACACTCAAATATCTTTAGAGGTTGAGATGATGAGAACTAATTTTTTGGAAATTCTTTTTAAAAAAACATCAAAAAGTGTTTCAAAATTTAAAATCTTATTGTGTATTCTATTTTATGAGAAATGTGATATTTCGACGTCTGGTTGTTAAATAATAATGTCCGAGCTACCTTTAATAAGTATTTGTTTTTCCTTCAGCCATGTCATTTTGTTGTGGAGTGTCATCACAAGGGCTTTGATGAAATTGTTTTTTTTTTTTTTTTTGAGAAAAAATTGACTCAAAATTTATTTTAAATACTCGTGAATTATCATATTGTATTATTTGAATGATTTTTTGAAATAATGTGTGTACCATGATATACAAATTTTTAAAAATTATTTTTACTTATGATTTTTATTTTATTAAATAAATACAACTTAATCTAGTGCGATCATTAGTCAAAGTAACAAACCTTTTTTTTTCACAGAATGTATAAGGTTTTTACAAGGTCCCTAGATATCATTATGAATTAGAGTAAATGATTTAGTTGGTTTGTATATTTGTGAAGAAAATGAAATATAATATTTTTTTAGCAAATTGACAAACTTAACATTGAAATAAAGATTTTTTAAAAAAAATACTTTAAGAAATAAGTATTTTATATACTGAAAATTAGAATGATCTAACTTATAATTCTATACCATAATATCATTGTATTTAGAAATAGAAATAAAATTCAAACCAGTACTTTAATAGTCAATGCAAGTCTAGTCTATCTTCCAAATAATAGAGTCTATCTTTTTCCTTAACACTTTCAACCATCCTACATGTGGTCAATTTCTTAAACTCACAACAAGAAGATTGAAAATTTGTTTAACATTGATGATCAGTGGTAATTTTGCTACTAGCCCAGTCACACATTAGATTACTTATATGAAGAACACACGAAGGGTTAGCAATGGGGTGAGTTTGACAATTCTTATTTCGGTAATTACTGAGAGGAAATCATCAACAATTTTGACATTTTTATTTCCTGCTAAAGGTCTATAGGAGAAAAACAATTTAGAACAACCAGTCAAGTGATCAGTTATGCAAGAATTAGTTATCCAAGAATGAGAAAAATTAGGAATAATATCTAACAAAGCAATGGCTAAAGAGTTACCCTTCTGTACTAAGGAGCAAGACATAGTCAAAAACATTTTATGATTGAAATAATTTGTACAAGTGTTCTAATTGCTCGTTAGCGAGCGAACTGCATTCAAGATAGCATGAGGCCCCTGACCTTCTTTAGCAGTAGCTTGGTAAGCTCGACTTTCGTGCTTAGATTTTGATTTCCAATTTTCTCATGAAGCTTCCAACTTGCTCTTTCGTGTCATGATTTTTTGGTAATGTTCGCACCACGGTTTCTTGCACATTTTTTTTACAGTGTCAACCCATTTTGACACAAGAGTCTTGTTCTCCTATTTAATGTTACAATATAATTCGGCTTTGCACAATATTTTTTTTTCTTAACTCTTCACGTCTTACTTCAGAGAAACTTCTCGAATCGAGGGAGAGACTTCCTGCCATGATTCGACCTCGAACTTGGTTTAAACTCCGATTAAGGTTGGTTAAGAACATGTAGTCCCTATCGTTTCTCCATCTCTTCTTGTAGCGAGCATAATCATTCGAATTCTCTTAAATGTCATCATAATATTGATCTACGTAGTGACATTGCAATCATTTTATTTGGATTTTTAAAGTTGAGTTTCAACTAAAAAATTTGGGAAGAATCATAATATTGATCTACGTAGTGACATTGCAATCATTTTATTTGGATTTTTAAAGTTGAGTTTCAACTAAAAAATTTGGGAAGAATTCTCCAATTCTGAATAGAGATCTCGAAAGGCCTACTAGATATCTCGTGCAGTGGGAA